CCTTTTCACCAACAAATATACCAAAACGCTTTCCTTACCAAAAAAAAAAACCATTCAAAAGTCGCCTCTTCAAATCTGTCTAGACACTAATTCCACCCACCGACCACACTCAATTGGCTTCCAAACTACCCCTTCTCTACATGACTTAAACACACGTCACCACGCTGCCGCCAACRCGTCTGACAAACTCCATACGGGAACTTAACCCAACAACATACAAAATGCCGCACCACAGGAATACCAACGCTCAAAAAAACCGCCATAGCCCCCTGCTACATAAAAACATATTACTAAGTCTTTGGGCACCCTCCAACTCGCTCCTCGCCCTTGGCTCAGCCATTCAATAGCCCACCAAACTTCCCGTGAGGGTGCCCAAACACACATCAAGCCACCAGGTCTGGCCCTACATGGTAGCAACCAATTTTCGACTCACTAAAACTGACCTATTTCTCCCTATTCATGGCCAAAAAATACCTCCCTATTGCTCACCATGCAAGTCCCTCTACACACTTCTTCGTGCAGAGCTACATTGCTGCCCTCATTAGGCTTAATGATGCCTTCGGGCACCTAGTGGCTGATCTATTCCCTTCCCCTTTCATGGCCACGAGCGAACGAACCAAGAACGCACGAGCTCGATACCAACCCTCTCATTATATGCGCACCCTATGCTAATCTCTCTTCCCTACTACTCTATCTTATATATACGCCATTTTGTTTACTACCTCCACTCCGAGTTCCATGCTGCCTGCTGCTGCATATCATTCAACAACCCTCAGCCTGCTCCATCGCCAACCCACTTCTACATCCTATTCACCAGGTAAGCCTCACTTCTCTACTACTCCTAGCTACTGCCTAAATAACCTTACCAATCTACTCTTCACTTTCAAACTACCACTTCATTTACAATCCTTCCTTCATTATTACATTGACATCTGTATCATTCACCAACAACACCAATACCTAAACCACCTACTTACACTTTACATTTCCACTCCCATGCATCACTGTGCACAATAATATCCCATCACTGTGCACAATATCCCATCTAGCATTATTTCCCATTAAGTTATAAGCTAACAGCAATATCACAAGAACCACCACCACCACCACCAACAACAACAACAGCAACAACAACAATTAACAGCAACTACAACGGCAACAATAAAACAAACAACAGCATGAACAGCATTATTGTTTACTTACATCTTCAGAGTAGCCTTTAATCCACAATCACTTGGTGCTAGTTTCTTGACACTTCATTGCTTTTTCTTGAATTTCGAAAATAACAAAATTGATCATTATTAAACTCATACGTACAATATGTTTTATGAATAGAATTACATAACAAGATGATTGATTCAAATAGGGTAAAAAAATC